CTGGCTCTATATCTCTGTCTGGCAAGCGCACACGCCCTATAGCAAAAACCTCTCCAAAAAAAAAAAAGGAAATGGAGAAACCAGCAGTTGGCATAATGGCTATGTCGCTGGACTCCCATGTGGTCGATCGCGGTTCAAGTCCCGGACCCAGTGGCTTAAACTCACACTGGGTGTGTGCGCGTGTGTGCCCAAGATCCAGAGAGAAGAACAGAGGAGAAGGGATTGTGACGTGGCCATCCCCCCAGGGGGTGATTTCTATCTCTCTGTCTTTCAGGCGAGTGCACATGCCCTATAGCAAACCTCTCCCCCGAAAAAAAGAAATGGAGAAGGGAAATGGGGTGGTGCGTGTGTGTCTCAGCTCTGTCTCTGTGTATCTGCTTTTGTGTCTGTAGGGCTGCCTACGACTGTGTCTACACGTGCAAGCATCTCAGGTGTGTCCGTGTCCACGTCTGCTGTGTTTCCGTGAGTGTGGTGTTCGTCTACATGTACTTGTCTGTGGGCATTCATGTGCCTGTATGTACTTGGATGCGCATGTGCACTTCTATCTGCATTTACATGTGCTCGTGTGCAGACGGCATGTACTGGTATGTGGGGGGCGGGGCTGGCTGATCCCAGCCTCTCTTACTCCTCCACATGAGGATGGTCAGGCCATGGTGGGACCGAGCCCAGTCTGATTTGGTGACTCACTCCTGATGCCGGGGGCCGTGGACCAACAGGTCCCCACCCACGGTCTGTTACTGGGCCATGCGTCTGGCTGGGTTTGCAGCCGAGAGACTCCGTGTCCTCTACTCCCCTCCTCCTATGCTGGAGCCAGCTGGAGCCACCCACATCCCACATGGAGCCCCCGCCAGGCTGAGGACAGCCCCCAGGCTGCCTGCTGCTCCAGGCTGTGCTGGGTACAATCGGGCTTTGGGGCCAGAAGAGCTGCTTGGCTGAACTAAGGGGCGGGAGCCAGGGGGACAGCTGCTAGCCCACTGGACCTGTCCCTCTGCATGCAGGGCTGGGCTGCAAGGTGCAGGGAACATCCTGGTCAGGGCAGCTGCGGCCTTAGTGCCCTGTAGGACCTCCAGCAGCTCATGCACGCTCTCTGTGTCCCAGCTCCTTGTTTGTAAAGTAAGCAGCCAGTTGGGGCCAGCAGATAGCATAATGGTTACGTCGCTGGACTCCCATGGAATCGACTGTGGTTGGAGTCCAGACCTAGTGGTTTAAAACTCATCCCCGGGGCATGTGCACGTGTGCCCAAAATCCCAAGAGGAGAATAGAGGAGAAGGGATTGCGGCTGGGCAGCCGCCCCCCCCTGGGGGTGATTTTTCACTTTCTGTCTCTGTCTCTATGGCAAGCACATGTATCCTATAGCAAAAATCTCTCAAAAAAAAACAAAACCTCACTCCAGGCATGTGTGCATGCATGCCCAAAATCCCGAGAGAAGAACGGAGAAGGAACTGTGGTGTAGCCATCCTCCCTGGGGAATGATTTCTTGCTTTCAGTTTGCCTCTCTGATGAGCACATATGCCCTATAGCAAAAAATCTCTCAAAAAATAAAATAAGATAAAAAATAAGGGGCCGGTGCCAGCAGAGACACGACACAGCATTGCAGAGCTGTGCGTGGCACAAAAGCCCCTGGACAGCGTGGCGAGCGATGCCGAGAGCTGTTCAAGATTCTGCCTTGCAGGCTGGGGGCCCCAGTGCTAGCTGACACAACCAGAGGAAGGGGGGCCTGCTCCCCATGGGGTGTTTGCTCATTAGAGCACAGGCCTGGGGGCCTGGGTAGGGCATGCCTCATGTAGGGCATCTGCCGGGGGCACCTTGTTCTCATTCTCATGGGGGCCACTGCCCTGCCCTGCTCACCCGGCTGAAGAGAGGGAAGTGCCGACCTCCCTGCAGCCTCCGCCCTCTCTGTGCTGGTACCCAGGTGTCTGTCTTTTGCAGATTCTCTTCCATCTCTCTGGAGGCAGACCTCAGCCCCCTCACGGTCCTCCCCTCTCCTTTAAGCTATCCAGTGTGGGGCCCAGAGGGCTCTGGAATTTCTGGCCTCATCCCTCTGCCGATTTTACAGACCTGGTAAGTGAGGTGCAAAGAAATCCAGCAACTTTACCCTGGGCCCAGCTCCCTCCACCTCTGCCTCCTGCCCCCTCAGGGGCTTGGGCTTTCTGCCATCTACACTTGACCAAGTGTGTTCCCCGACAGCACGGGCCACAGGGGGACGTTTCCAGGACGGGACACCAAGAGTACAGTGCCTTGTCCACAGAGTCACAGTGACTCAGAGGTCAGAGGGGACGACCGGGCCCCCTTCCACTCCAGATCTGGTGCTGGCCCCTCCACCCTGGCACACCCCTCCACGCTGGCACACCCCTCCCTTTTCCTGCCACCCCTGACAGTGGCCAGCACACTTCTCTGCTTTGGTGCTCTTTATCTCTTAGGGAAGTAGCTGGGGAGTCGCGGTGGGGGGGGGGCGGGGGGAGGCGTGTGCGGACAGAGTCTGGCTCCTGTCCGCTAGGTTGGCAGACCTGCAGGGAAGGAACAGAGGTGGGCCTGAGTGAAGGGCTCCGGCTGGGTCTGTGCCCTTAGCCGCCCCTGGTTCCCCCAATCTCCCACCCCTCTACTCTAAGGCTGAGATCCTAAGGCAGGTTGGCTTAACCCAGAACTCCAATAGCTGCCCCCGCACAGGGAGCAGCTATGGGCCCCAGCCCACACCTACCCAGGCTGCAGGCTCAGCTGGGTGCCATGAAGCGGCTGCTATGAGGCGTGTCCCGGTAGAAGGGGTCTACTGAGGTCAGAGTTCTGCAGGGAGGCAGCGAGTGGGAGGCAGGGTTAGGTGAGGAGAGCCTGGGCCTTCTCCCTTGCCTGCCCCTCCCTGTGAGCCAGCCCATGGCTGAGGCAGGGCGGCCAAGCCACAGACATTCTCTGTCTGCCAACTCTGGGTCATTGTTGGTATAAATGTCATTTTGGAGGAATGGAATTGAGCAGAAAGGAGTCGCAAGTGAGAGAGAGCCACAGTCCATTCATCTTGGGATCCATCCCAGAGCCCCGGGCAACCCGGTGGGGAGGAGCAGCGCACGCACTGGGGGAGTGTGTGGAGAGGAGGGAGCAGCCTGCACGGCAGGAGGGTGGAGGCAGAGGCAGGGAGCACAGACAGAGGAAGGGAGGAGAGGCAGGGGTAAGGCCTGGAGGAAGATGAGCACAGGGACAGAGCTGGGCTGCGGGGTAGAGGGCTTCCCACTACCTTCCCACATGAGGGTGCAGGCGCCGCAGGCTCTCCGTGGGGTTGGGGGTGGCCTCCATGCGGGTGACAGGTTGGTTGAGAACATAGCCGCTTGACATTTGGGGCTGGATGCCCCCTCGAGTCCAGCCTTCCCGGTCTAGCCCCTTGGGGATATTCTCAAAGTATCTGGAGCAGAGGGACAGGTGTCAGCCATCACTGGCTTCTGCTCACCTGCAGCCTCCCTCCCTTCTCCACCGGGAGCCTCGGTCCTTGGATGTGCCAAGCCTCCTTGCCTTTGCTGTGCTGTCCTCTTTGCGTGGCACACCCTCAACCCCATCCACCGAGGGGATGGGAGGAGCCAGAACTCAGGAAACTAGCCTTCCCCTCCTCAAGCTGGGTACCTCCCAGCACCCCACTGCTAAGACAACACTTTGGAGTGTAAAAGGACTATCAGTGATGCCTGTATCCCTGGCCTGCCTGCACCTTGGCGCTGAGGACCCTGCTGCACCCACTTCTTGCTAGGCATTCAACTCTTTCCATTTCGCCAGTGCTTCCACTGTGCACCAGGCCAGTAAGACATGAGCCGCACTCAGAGCTTATAGAGAGAGCAATGAAGAAATCAGTGAGGGGCCGGCAGAGGCATAGTGGTTGGGGTACTGGACACCCACATGGCTGACTGTGGTTTGAGTCCCAGACCAGGCAGCTTGCTTTCTTGCTTTCCCTCTTTCTCTCTCTCTGCTCCAATTAAAATAAATAAAATAACAATGATAAGTAAAGTTAAATAAAACAATTCTTATAAAAAAGAAATCAGTAATTACAAGTAGCAGGGGCTCTCAGCCCACCAGCAAGAACCAGCAAGTATGCTTAACGTCCCTGGGAGGAGCTCAGGACTTCAGGACACACTGACAGGAAGTCACCCAGGCTGACTGGGGCCGGAGGACTGCAGAGCCAGGAAGGGGAGCATTGTCTACAGGGGTAGGGACAGTTGGCCCTGGGACACGGGAGTGAGCTCCTGCCCCTGCCCCACCCTCTGCAGCACTAGAGCAGCCGCGGTGCTGACTCTTCTGGGCTGCTCGGGCATGCTTTGTCCTCTGAGCCTCAGGCTCCCCATCCCAGAGAGGAGGGACGCTGACCCAGGATGACCAAGCACCCTCCCAGCTCAGACTGTCTGTGGTTGCGCGTGCACGGGTTGTTCCCTCGGCCGGAACACTTCCTGAAGCTGTCTGTGCTTGGCCACTACCCACACTTCTTTTGGGTCTTGGCTCAAATGTCACCTTCACAAGGTGGATTCATGCCCCACCCCACCTCTCCTGTCCTCTCTCCCTGCTCATCACCTAACACACACCCCCTCCACATATTGATCGATGGTGCTCGTCAGGCGTGCCTCCTCCCCTGCGGAAGGTGGAGCAGTGCAGAGCCTTGGCCTAGCACATGTCCAGGCACCCAGTCAGGGCTCAGGGAAAGGCTGCCAAGAGCTGTTCTTGAGCAGATGAGTCTGAGGAGAACTGGACTGGACAAGGCTGGGAAGAGGCGGAGCCTGAGTAAACAGTGAGGGGCGGGGACCTTGAAGACCAAGGAGTTGGGAGGCACAGTGTGGGCACAGATGACAGAGGCTGTGAGGGGAAGCGTGGTTGCCCAGCTCACAGGATTTTGTCCTCAAAACTAAAACTTCCTTTTCACCAGTCCTGTGATGCCCTCCCCAACTGCCCAGGCCCTGGGAGGCTTTCTTTCTAGGGCCTCCTCCTGAAAGGCCTCTCTGATGTCCAGGATACTCATTCACTCTTCACCCAGGGTTCACATGGCAAAAAGCTTATTTTCTGAGGGAGCGCCAAGCCCAGCTTCCATGGGCTAGAAATACTGTGTCAGGAGACGCTTTCATTGCTTTGGAGCCTGTGTTCTCCCCACGCCCACCGCCTGGCCACCAACGGCCCATACTGCATCTCTGCCCTTGGCAGGCTGGAACCTGCTGTGTCTGAGCAAGACAGCGCCTGGAATGTAATGTTGCTCCTGGCGACAGGCGTCAAGTAATGACCAATGGATGTGAGGGTATAAATACCCCAGCTCTTTCACCCTTGGACTGGGCTAATTCTGAGTTGTGTGTTTTACACCGTTTTCTAGTCTCCCCAGGGAAGAGCTGGCTTAATAACACACGCTTTAGTAGCTGCCTTCCTTTCCCCTCCCACTCCACCACACTCTCGCTCTTGCACACCCGATAAAGTACTTGGCTCGAATCCTTGCCTCAGGGTCTGCTTCTAAGGGAAACCACACTAGCTCAGTGTTGGTCTTCTCCACGAGGCTGGAAGCTCATGCCTTGCCCCAGACCCAGTCTCCCTGTCTGGCCAATGGATCTCAGTTGGTGGACAGAAAGGGGGCCTCACCCTTGGTTGTAGGTGGTCAGGTACCGATTATCCCTGTCAGAGTCGTAGGGGCTCCGGACGTAGCTGGGGTTGTTCAGGCTGAACCCTGTGGGCTCCTGCATACAGAGGGGTGGGCAGGGAACCGTCAGGTCAGGAACAGTAGGGATTTCCAGGGAGACCTAGGTGCACCAGGCCTCACCTTTTTCCCCACGGTCTCCCGGCCAAGCATGGCAACATTCGTCTGTTGCATCCTCTGGGGGTTCTGGAACTGCCAGTGGTTCATGCTGCTGGGTTCTACACCGGAAGGGGGCACCTGCAGGGCCAGAGCCACAGAGAGACTGGGGTGGCCAGCCAGAGGCCCACACACCCTACCTGCCCCTGGCCCCAGGGCCCCTGCCCTTCAGTTCCAGTAAGCGTCTAACTTGCTGCTTCAGAGCACTCCTGCCACCTCCAGTCCCCTGGCCTTGTCCCCCCACCTGAGAGGCCTTTCCGCCACATTCCCCAAAACCTAATTCTTCCCATGTTTTGATGCTGGCCCAAAGGTCAGCTCCCCCATGAACCCTTCCTGCTCCTCCTTCCAAGGGGTCTTTAAGTCACTCACTCTGGGGTTCAGAGTCCTTTCATTCACTCGGCTGAAGCTGGTCTCCCGCTCCGAGCCTCTGGACAACACCGGCAGGAACTCATCTCCCTGGGGGAGCAAAGCAGCAGCAGCCCTCGGAGTGTGGCTTCCCCTCCCACGGCCTCCCCTGCCCGATTCTAACTGTTTCCAAGGGGTCCCCAGCTCCCCCAGCTCAGCTCACGTGAGGGTGAGTCATGGGGAGATAATCCGATTTGGTGACACTCCGGCCCGGGAGGAGGACCTGAAATAGGCCCAGGAAGGAGCATCAGCCCAGGTGGACAGCTCACTCTCCTGCCCTCAGGCCACCCGCCTGCCCCTGCCCAGTGCTGAGCACAGACAAGGCCAGCACAAAGGGGAAGAGTAGGGAGAAGGAAGGGGAGGCCATGATTCTCAATCAGAGCCAGCAGGTGAGAGTGGCCTTGGCCACGCCCCTTCCCCTCTTTGAGCCTCTGGCTTCTCATCTATAAAGGAGAGCTCGACCAGAGCAATGGCTCTGACCCATGCTTTTTCCTCAGGTATCGCAACTCAGGGCACTGCAGCTCACTTTTTTATTCCTTCTCAGAGTCTTACCACAGGGCATGTGCACTCATCGAAGAGGCAGTTTTTGTTTTGTTTTTTTAGGTTTTTGTCATAGGGCACAGGCACTCGCCAGAGACAGACAGAGAGGGAAAATGAGAAATCCCCTCCGCAGGGGGCATGGCCACTCCACAATCCTTTCTTCTCCATTCTCCTGGAATTTTGGGCATGCACACATGCATGCCTGGCATGATTTTTAACCAGTACCTTAACCACCATACCACCTACTGGGTTTGAGAGATAGATTTTTTTTTTTTTACTTATTTATTCATTTAATTTGACCAGAGAGAGACACAGGGTGTGGGGAGTGAGAAAGCAGGCCGCCCGTCTGGGACTAGAATCACGGTCAGCCATGTGGGAGTCCAGCATCTCAACCACCATGCCACCTGCTGGCCCCAAGAGACAGATTTTTTAAAAAGTCCGTTAAACTCCTAGACTGGAGGGCTTCAGTCATCCTGGGACTGTAACTGGGGCCCACCGACTTACGGGGTCTCCAGGGGTGGCCTGGGAGGGCGGCTGAAAGACAATGGGGTTCTTGGTGGACTGTTCAGTGTAGCCCGTGTCCTCCTTGGCTCCGATCGACTTCTTCTGCAAGAGATCTGCAGAGACAGCCCCTAGTGCTGCGGGCCACCTCCAGAGGCACAAGGTCCCCGCGGGTGCTGACTTCGTGATGGAGACCTGAACCATGGGGATCAAGAGTGGGGGGCACCAAGGAGGGACTCTAGAATCCAGGCCAGACAATAGGGGAGGAGCAGCGGGAAGCAAGAGTGGGGGCGGGCCAGGGGTCATGGTGGAGTCCCCAACAGCCCTCCTACACGCCACGCCGTCCTTGGGATCGGTAGGCCTCAGGCACTGAGGTCCACCTGGGGGAGACAGTTCCCTTACATCACCTCCATGTCCCTTCTCCTTCCACTGATGTCTTCTTAGTCCTGCCCAGCTCCAGGCTCCCCTGCAGGTCTCTCCCAGGGCGTTTGCCGTGCGCCCCCAGGGCGGGGGGGGGGGGGAGATCGACTGGGAGGGAGTATGCCTTCAGACGTGGACCTACCTGGCTGATTCGAAGGCTCCTTGAGATACTTGGAATTGTACTCAGAAGTCATGAAGCGCGGGCCCTGGAACACAGAGGGTGGAGAGACAGGGACACACGTGGACCAGGGCCCCGAAGGCCCTCGGCAGGGCTGGCAGTGCTAGATCTTCCTTATCCGTGATCGGAGCAGGCCTGTGTGGCACATCCTGAGAAGGGCAGGCCAGTCTGGCACCCACAGATCTCTCCCCTGGGGATCACAGTGCAGAACTTCCGCCAGGAGAGCCCCTTTCCCCTGCAGCAGTGGACGCTAAGTCATGCTGCAAACCCGGTTCCCAGAAATGAGCTGCAGAGCCCAGAGGACCCTATACAGGAGAACAGAAAGGCTGATGTCTGAAAATGCATGCTCACTTCACCGTTCCCTGCCCTGGGCCCAGGGCCTCGAGCTGGGGTAGGGTAGAGAAGGGTACTTAGGTATTAAATCATAAGATACATGGGCCAGCCAGGTGACATGGTGGTTAGAGCAGCTGGATCCCACATGGCCGAGTCCATGATTTGAGTCCCAGACCCAGCAGCTTGAAAACCATGCTGTGGATGTGTGTGCGTGTGTGTGCCCAAAATCCCAAGAGGAGAATGAAGGAGACAGGATTGTGGCATGTCCATCCCCCTTGGGGAGTGATTTCTCCCTTTCCTTCGCCCTCTGTCTCTCTCTGGGGAATGCACATGCCCTATAGGAAATTAAAAAAAAAAAAAAAGCAAGAACGCTCCTGGTGACCCTCTGGAACTGTTCTGGAAGCAGCGAGCTCCAGTCCTCTGCTTTCCCCAGTCTTTCCTGGTGCCCTGAGCGCGCACTGAGTTGGCTCTGAGATGAGTCTGGGCAATCTGTGTTGAAGGTGGGGGTAGGCGGCAGGCATGGCCCTTCTCCCAGCCCTGCAGCCTGGAACGGGACTGCCTACTCACATGTCGCCAGTTCTCCCACTCCAGAGAGCCCTTGCTCTGCGGCTGGTGGAGCAGGGGCATGGCCTTGGGCTCCAACCCAGCGATGGCCTGGGGCCCGTGCTCCTGGGTGTCAAAATGGACCTTTCTGACCTGGGAAGAGGGACCACCCATTACCTTCCAGGGCGGGTGAGGGGATGGCAGTCACTTCTGCCCCGTTCCCCGCCCGCTCAGAGCCCCACAGCGCTGTCATCATGCTGAAGTGAAGCCACGTCTGAGAGTGGCCCCGCAGACTGCAGCTCTTCACGCCACTCCAGCCCTTGCCTCCTGCTGCCCCGCGCCCTACGTCAGACACTCCGACTCAGGGTCTTGGCGCTTGCTGCTGGCACTGCCCGGAGCGTGCTCCCCTCCTGGAGCTGCGGTGGGGGACACTAGCCTCCCTCAGGTCTTTGTCCACCGTCTCCATAGCAAGCTCTTTCCCACCCTCCCGATTTACAGTCCCAACTCTTTCACTGCCGTGTCACTCTGTTTCTCATCTTGTATTGCTTTCTTGGCTCTTAACACTCGCAAATGTAAAAGAGATGTTCGGAATATGTCAGTGGGTTGGAAGAGTGAATGACTGCTGATGGGATGGTAAGAATGCTGACGACGATGATGACCGACATGAAGACGGGGTGATGACGACAATGGCGGTGAGACAGTGATGGTGGTGAGGAGGACGATGGGGCTGGGTTTTGTGGAGGGGATGGTGGCCGTCATGGAGATGAGGCTGGGAAGGAGAGGGAGTGTGACTGGGGATAGGGATGGTGGGGTGAGGATGAGGTGAAGGGAATAAGGGTGAGTGGACTCCCACCCCACATGTGGCTCCTCCATGCCCTGTCACCTCACCTTGACCAACCATGGGCAGTGCTGTCCCAGCCTGCTGAGGGTCCCCCACTCCCTGGTCCTCCCCCCACTCTATCCTACAGCTCCCCTCTCTTGGCCCGGGCCCAGCACTGACCTCCTTAGTGGTGGGACCCGTGTTGGGCTTCTCCCGCCCATAGCCAGAGCTGGCCTGGTATGGGTTCCAGGACACTGGGAACTTGCCATCAGGCACCTCCAGGGGGCGGTAACTCGGACTGGTTGCTGTCTGGAGATTGTCCCGGATTTGTTCCCTGGGTGGTTAGTGGGGAGGAAGGAGCAGGAGCTAGGACCAGGACCATGTGCTTTGTCTTTGGGGGGGCTGTGCTGCTTATGACCAGGGGCTTCCCCACCCCCTCAACCCTCCATGGAGGCCTCAGGAGATGCCTTGTCCTGTCACCCAGGGCCTGTGCGTCCTTTCCTCTACCCCAGGCCTGGGCCAGGATCCCTCTCCATGGACCCAGAGTTGCTGTGAGGAGCTCTGATGTCCCCGAAAGTTGAGACCCAGCAGGGCAAGAGTGAAAAGGGGTCGTATGGACCGTACTCCATGGCTGGGTTTTCCGGGGCGTCCAGGTTGGCTTGGTGTGAGACTATAGGCCGGTAATTCGACTTGTAGCCTGTCCCCATGTGAGTGCCTACACGGGGCTTGAACTCCTCACGACCTGCCAGTGGGAAAGCGGAGACACAGGAACTTAGGTCAGCTGGGGGGATGGCATCAGCAGGGTAGGGACAAGGTCAGGGCAACGCGATGGCAGTGACAGCACCCAGATGGGGCCAGCTTGACAGTGCCAGTCTTGGGGGGAGCTCAAGGGAGAGACCCGTTCTGTGGGACAGGCCAGAGGGCTGGTCCTCTCCTCGGGAGGGCCTTGTCCTTCCCGTCAGATCCTGGAGGTGGCCTGCATAGACTGTCCTTACCGTAGGAAGTGCAGTAGCTGGTGGCATAGAATTGCAGGGGGTCCATGCTGCCCCCTGAACTCATCTTCACGTAAGGGGAGACGACCCCCAGGGGCAGCTTCCCCAGCATGATGCTTGGCAGGGCCCCCGGGAGGGCTGGGGAGGAGGAGTAAGCAGGCTGGTCAGTCCAGGGCCCAGACCTGAGGACCAACCCCACAGAACCGGCCCCTGCTCCCAGGCTTCCGTCCTTCTCCCCTGACACCCCACCCCCCAACTTAGGAAGGAACTGACCATCCACACGTGGCTCACAGTCTCCTGTGCCTCCCCAACGTCTCCCTGCTAACTCCTCACTCCCCACGTGCAGCTGCAAACAGCTTCCCAGTGATGAAGGGTTTGCTCATAATAGAGGCAGAGCACCCCCAACAATCCCCTACCCAGGGAATTCCTGGGCACCCAGCTCAGATGCCCACACCCAGGCCCAGGCTCCCTGTCTTTCCCTCAGCTCCCCCTAGCTTCGCCACCTCTGGCTGGAAGTTGGCTCTGTTCTCCTGGGGCCCAACCGCAGCCGGCCCCACCCTCACCTGCCCTCAGTGACTCTGAGGTCCACGGGGCGCTGCTGGAGGCAGGAGCTGCTCCAGAGAAGCAGGCCCTGCTGGAGGTGGCCAGCCCGGAGAAACAGTGCATTGCCTAGCAACGGGTGCATGGCAACAGCGTCCCCATGCCTCTGAAGCCCTTCCAGAGCCAGGGCCCACTGAGGGGTTGACCTGGCCAGAGGAGGGAGGCCAGGAGCTGCCCAGGCAAGCCCCTGCCTCCATGCTCCGGCCTCCATCCCAGCCTCCTCTGCAGGCCTGGAAGAGTTGCTGTCTGAGTGACAAGAAATAAAAGATAATCCCGAACAATTGCGTCTATTTATCGAGTACCTCCTTCTCATCAGACACTTTACATCCTTTATCTCTGTCCATCCTCTGAGCAGCTCTTCCAAGGAGCTATTATTATCCCTATTTTCACATGGGGAGCAGGAGGCTTAGACAAGCAAAGTGACTTGTCTGGCCAGAGATCTTGCAATCATAAAACCATCAAATTGAGATCCCAACGCAGTGGATCCAGATCCCATTCTTGCACCTCTTGGTGAATTAATGTGTACTGTATTCTGCTGGAGCCAAGGCAGTGCTAAGCCCTTCACCTCTGTAATCCTCGAACCACTCTGTCAACTGGGTCCTATTGCTGCAGGGTTTGTAAGCCACAGCAGCTAAGACTGTGGCTTCCACTGGACCTGTTTTAGAGAGGTTTTTGCTATAGGGCTTGTGTGCTCGACAGAAAGAGAGAGACAGAGGGGCCAGCAGGTGGTGTGGTGGATAAGGGCGCTGGATTCCCACATAACCAACCATGGTTCAAGTCCTAGACCTGGTGGCTTGCTTTCTCACTTTCCCTTTCTCTCTCTCTCTCCAAATAAAGAAAAAAATAACAATAACAAATGGAAATAAATAAATAAATAATTCTTTAAAAAATTATTTAAAAAAGAGAGAGAGACAGAGAGACAGAAAGCAAGAAATCACCCCCCAGAGGGGATGGCAATCCCTCCTCCATTCTCCTCTTGGGATCTTGGGCACGCACGCACACGCGCCCAGTGTGAGTTTAAACCACCGGGTCCAGGACTCAAACCGCGGTCAACTACATGGGAGTCCAGCAACATAATCGGCAGTTGGTTGGCCCTGCCCCTGCCACTTTTGATGAGGCACTTATCCTTGTAACACCCATATCTCCATCTTAACCAAGGGTGCAACCACGCTCACCTCCAGGGTTGCCGGCAGATTTAACCAGAGCATGGAGTCAGCACTTGGCACATAGTAAATGCTCAGGTTTGTTTTGTTTTGTTTTGTTTGTTTGTTTTTTAGAATGAGTCCGTTTTATTCATCATCACCATGATCATTATTTTTAAAATATTTGACCAGGGAGACAGAGACAGATGGAGAGATATGGGGAGAGAAATTGAGAAAGCGAACCTCTAGGTCCAGGACTTGAACCTTGGTCGGCCATCTGAGAAACCAGCACCTCAACCACCAGGCCACTGGTTGGCCCCAGTGCTCAGTTTTTAAATGTTACTGAGGCCAGCCCATAGGCTGGTGGTTAAGGGAGTTGTCCCACGTGGATGACTGTGGAGTTCAAATACCTGACCCGGTGGCTTGAAAAACACTCAGAGCATGTGCCCCAAAACCCAACAGGAGGGAACAGTGAAGACGGGATGGCGGTGTGACCATGCTCCATGAGGGGGGCTGTCTCCCTCTCCCTCTCTCTCCATGTCTTTCTCAACAGTAACATTTCCTCATCATCCCCTCTGGCAACATTTTTAAAGTAAATAAAAATAAAGGCAGAGACCAGCAGATGGTGTGGTGGTTAAGGGCACTGGATTCCCACAGGGCCAACCGCGGTTTGAGTTCCAGACCTGGCGTTTGCTTTCTTGTTTTCCCTTTGTCTCTCTTTCTCTCTGTCTTTGTCTGATCAAATTAAAAAATAATAGTAACAAGTAGAATTAATAAAGCAATCATTCTTCTTAAAATAAATAAATGAATAAAAGCAACCATCCTTGGGCTTGCTGAAGGTACAGTGGTAACACAACACTCTGTGACGCTGGGACCCACATGGGAAGGTCCAGGTTCATGTCCTTGTGCATGATGGGAACACTCGTGCCCACGATGTGGGCGGCTGAGGCTGGGGAGAGATGGTGACATAAAGACCTTTTTGAGGGTGACTCTCTCTGTCATGGAAAATAAATGAATAAATAAATAAAGAAACTTCTCTTTTAACCTGCTATTCTTTTTTTTTTTCTTTCCTTTCATTTTTTTCTATAGGGCATATGTCCTTGTCAGAGCAAGACAGAGAGAAACATATAAAGAGTGAAAATGAGAAAGCACTCCCGGGGCGGGGGCGGGGGGAATGGCCATCGTGCAACCCCTTCTTCCTCTTTCTCCTCTTAGGATTTTGAGCATGTATGCACGTGCACCCAGCGTGATTTTCAAGTTGCTAGATCAGGGACTTGAACCACAAAGTTGGGCAACTGCCTTAACCACCATGCTGCCAGATGACTCAAAGTTGCTATTTATCCTATTTTTTCCCCATTTTTTTAGGCAGGAAAATTGAGGTTCAAGGGCGAACATCCAGGCTTCACAGTGGGAGGAGGCAGAGCCTGGACTCACTTCTGAGTGAGCCATTCCCTAAGCCATGTTCCTCTGTGACAGCCGGTTTGCCTCAGTTTGCTTTCAAGCTTGTATATATCGTAACAATCGAATCTCTGATGGTGGTGAGCTGGAAGGAGTCCTGATATGTAGCAGTTGCCAATGTCCATAGTGTAAATGCTCTCATCATGGCTGCTTTCAAATTACCAATGCAATCACTGAATGGGTACCCGGGAAGGTGGCATATCACTTTACTACTGTCACTATCCAGTATGGTAGATTAAGTAACCTCAAATGCATAAATAAGAGGAAAATGCACTAACATAATTAGGAGGTGATAAGTTTTAAGCATGTGTTATCTTTGCTTTTAATACAACGTATTAAGTTGCGAGTAGCCAGCTCACAAATTTCTTCAAAGTTTCACCTTCTGCTCTCTGATCAAGGGCTCCAGCGTACCTACTCCTGCTCTTAGGGGAGCAGAGGGGTGAACAAAGGGGAGGCTGCACAAAGGGAAGGGGTGCTGCCCTCGCCCCGAAGGTACCTGCCTTCATCCCTCAGTAACCTGCCTGCAGAGAGGGAGCTGCGGCCACATCTGACCCCCACAGAGCGGTCCTGGGCACAGAGGTGACCCAGGTCTAGGGAGGGTCTCAGGCAAGTACCAATCCTTTGGAGTAATACTTCTTTATTTAAAGTCTTAAAAAATATGTTTCTTTTTTTGAGAGAGAGAGAGATTTTTGCTATAGGGCACGTGCACCTGCCAGAGAGACAGAAAGCAAGAAATCAACTCCCAGGGGGGCTTGCCACACCGCAATCTCTTCTCCTCCATTCTCTTGGGATTTGGGACATGCATGCACACACACACACACACGCGACCAGCATGAGTTTTAAGCCGCCAGGTCTGGGCCTCGTGGTGGACTACATGGGAGTCCAATCATGTAACCATTACGTCATCTGCTGGTCCCCAAAATATATTTCTTTTAAGAGAGTGAGAGACAGAGAGTGAGAGACAGAGAGTGAGAGAGAGAAAGAAGCGGCCTCTGCAGGCTCTCAGGTTGTCCTCCCCCAGGTGGCCAGCATCATGGGCATGCATGCTCAGATGACCAGGGAACCAAACTCGTGATCCGTCATAGGGATCCATAGCATCACGTGAGTAGCGTGTTTCGGCTGCACCGCCAGGTGGGCCCCAGAGCTCCAGTTCTGTTCAGGTTCAGAAGCTGCAAGGATGCAGGAGTGTTCTGCCCTCCAGCAAGATGCGCTCCCCCACTGCCAGAGGTTCACGTAGGCAGCATGTGTGAACCACCAGGAAGAGGGAGACTGTCATAGGCGGTAGGTGCTGTGGTCATGCGGGACAGAGGGAGAGAGCAACCCTTCTCAAAGTGTGCCCGAGGAAACGTGGTTACAAACGCTGAATCAGAGGGTGTGGGCCTTGGCCCTGCCATCAGACAACTGTAAGACCGTGCATGGTACCTGTGCCTCTGTTTCCCCTCCGGAGAATGGGGGTGAATGCACTGCTCCGCAGGGTATGCTACGCAGGGAGCGCTTAGCCCAGCACATAGCACAAGGCAAGCGCCATATCAGAGTCAAGGAAAGGCCTTGGACAGAGGCTCATTTTGAGTGCTCACTATCTACTAGGCAAAGGGCCAGGACCATGGGTTATAAACAAGAATTCCAAATAGCTCTACCCTCAGGGAGTTGCAGTCCAGGGGCTCTCAGACGTAGCCAGAGTGATGTAGAGAAAGAAAAGTTTGATCCGGGACCTGAGCTGTAATCCCCCTTCTACAGGGAGGCTGAGTTCCAATCCTCATTTTGTAGGGAGCCCGAGTTCCAATCCCCCTTCTGCAGTGTGCTCTGGGCTTACCTCTGAGCCTGCTTCTGTACCTGGGGCAGGGAATAACTATACCTACCTTGTTAACCTGCCAGTGGATTTGAAATGCCCTCAGCGCTGCACAGAGATGTGGGTGGAAGTGAGGGGGCACTCCCCGGGAGGGCGACAAGATCAGAGGGGGGCGGTGCCTTGCGCGCTGGGGGCTGTGACTCGCCCAGCCTGTAGGGAGCACGTTGTGGAGAGGCTTGCTCAGCTGAAGGAGGCAGCCCTGAGGGGGCTGTGGCCTCTTTGCAAGCAGTAGAGGGTAGGGGGTGGCAGAAAGGTTTGAAATTGTCCCTCAGAGTGTCCTTGGGGAAGCTCTTGGGCTGCCAGGCCGGAGGGGACAAAGACTTCGGACAGGAATTCCAGAGGCGGCTGCTCTCCCAGTCTGGGATCTAGTAAATCCGCACCGGCGGTTCTCAGAAGCCTGTGTGGGTTTTTATTGCTGCGTGGCGACACCCAGAGGCCATAACTCAGAACTACAGGAGAGGCTGCGCATGCTGCCCAGTAAGTCCTACAGCTTCAGCGAGGGGACAGAGGAGCTACGTTAATTCCAACCCTGGGCCACCCAGTCTCATTCTCCAGGACAGAAAGCGCAGGCCTGGGCAAGGGGTGATCTGGGAGGGCAGGAGCTGGAGACTATGGGCTGC